CCCGATGCGACAAATAAAACTAGAACTACGCGCTCTCAGCGCCAACTAGCGAAAATACCGCAAGACTTTTTATATATAGCAATGTTGCCTTCCAGAGAAGAGTGAGAAAGGGGTAAGGTGAAGAGGTATACTGGAATAAGTTTCTATACGGATGGCTCTAAACTACATAATCGATTAGGGAGTGGTATCTTTTCAGCGAAATTAAATACCACAATCGCCTTACGAATACCAGACCACTGCAGTGTCTTCCAAGCGGAGATCACAGCAATTAAAAAAGGCTTCTTGATCTGACAAATAGTGTGCTAACAACAATATACTGACAGCCAAGTGGATTTGATATCACTAAAGTCTCTTATAGCATTAACAGATGGGCTAAGTTCCTACATAGCTCTCAAAATTTTAGGAAGTTAGTGGCATTTCGTTGGCAATATTGCTAAAAATTTGCTACTGCATTCTATTGTGAATGAAAAATAGCCAACAGTGAAACTACTAGTTTTACAAAAATAATTGAAATTGTAAACAACAACAACGCGAATAAAAAAAATTACTTAACTTTACTATTTAGCATATTTAACATGAATATGCTTATTTCTATTTTCTTTGTTTTAACATGAAATGGTATTAATAAAAAAAGCATTCAAAGACATACGCCACGATTAAATTGAGCTGCTTGAAATTGTTTAAAATGCCAATCCGCTGCTGTCTATCACTTATAAATTTAGATCTGATTAAGGGCACAGTTAATCGATATTACCGCTAGGGATAATGAGATCAAACTTCACACCAACATAAAACAGATATTTATCGAAACAAGGTGTGGTAAAAAAAAAAAAACAGAACAAATGTTTTTTTCGGCAAAAACAATTTTATTTTTATTCAAAGCAATTTGCTTTTGCTTCAATATAGCTTTTCGTCGAACGAGTGTTTTAGCTCGTTTCCCGGTATGGCCGAAAGTATGCCGGTACAAGACTTTTGAATGGCCTCTACGTCTGCATAACGCTTTCCTTTCATGGCCAAGTGCATTTTTCCGAAGAGCAAGAAGTTGCACGGTGTCATATCAGGTGAATGCGGGTTAAAATGTGATTTTTAGTCAAATAATCATCCTTGGAATGTTGCATTCTGAGCAATTTTTGGTCGTCAATCAAGTTGTGCGGAACAAAACGTGCACACACCTTTCGTAAGCCCAGTTGTTCGGTCAAAATGCGATGTTTTTTTTTTTGATGTTTGTTCAATTCCATTTACATGAATTTCAATGATGATTTCGGCTGATTTTCGATGAATTCACGCACAATTTCGATGGAATTTCCGGTGATCACGAATTTTGATTGGCCCACATGTTGATCGTCATTTATGTCCTCACGACCACTTTGAAAACGTTGAAGCAACTCCTGCACTCTGCTGTGGGATAGACAATCATTGCCGTAAACTTGTTTCATCAATTGAAATGTTGCGGTAAACGTTTTACCAATTTTAAAACAAAATTTAATGTTGGCTCTTTGTTCAAAGCCCACTTTCGCACCGATAACACAAACATACTAACATTAAAAACGCAATAACTTCACTTAAAATCAATGAAGCGTCATGATATTCTCACTGGACAATCGATAAAGATAGCAGATTCTAATGCACCAGTCGACATATAGATGGCGCCAACAGGGGGCGCTAAATTCAAAAAGATTCCTGTTTACTTAGGAATGAACCTAGTATTTCTTACTTTTAAAATAGGCGACATTTTCTAAGCATACTAGTGTAAACTAAGTGAGCAAACTAATTTAATTCAATAAATCTTAATTATTATTGTTGTTGTAATTTGTTGCAGAATCATTTACCAAATATTAAGGTACACGCCTATTTCGCACCAGTTACACCGCCACCAGTTACCACTGGACATCGCCCACGGTATTGTCGCTGTTGTGAGATTCTCTGAGATTCGGCCATCGGCTTCGCCAGGAAATTCTTGTGCAAGGGCCCTACTGACTGATGTTTGTATATATTTACTAGTACATTTCTAATTGTTTTGACGATCATTATGACATCGCTGACACTCATGTATCTCTTCTCGATGATTTACTATGTTTTTTGAAAAATAACCAAAAACAACAAAATGACAACATGTATATGTATGAAAACGACAACAACAACAACAATTATAATACTATAACAACAAACACGAGCAAAATTGCAAATTGTATGTACATACATAAACTACTTACGTGAGAGAAATTCTTAAGCTCAGACAAATTTAATTATTTTGTGCAGACAAAAAAGGCAAAAGAACAAATGCTAAAATACTTTATATGTATATGTGAAATAAATGCAAAATTGTAAACAGTATGCGCTAGAAGAAAACGAAACAAGGCTTGAAAATATATATTTGATTTTAGGAAGTGATAAGGCACCACATACACACACATACATACATACATATACATATGTACATGCATATTTACATAAATTAGAAGTGACAAAAGATTTTTTAACGAAATTCTAAAATCAAAACAAAAAATGCACAAAGCGAAATTAAACAAAATCAAGACTAAACGTTTAAAGCGAACCAAAAAAATCTTAAAAACATAAATATGTATGTATTTAATTGATTGAAATTTTAGAAAGCGGTTACACTTGAGTTGACAAGCAAAAATTAATAAAATTATTTTAAAGGCTTTTTTGCGTATAACGCTTGGCAATCACTATTTTACACACACACATACAAATATACAGAAGATTTTATTCTTTTTTTTTTTGTGCAGACGGAAATTCGAGTATTAGGACAGAAGCAATATGCAGCTGTATAAATATAGAGCGTGCGAAAGCGGTAATGTGGAGTTATGGAAGAGGTGTAAGGAAATCGTTTTGTGATTTTATATGATTTTGCCTGTAATTATACACATACACATGCATAATGAGAATTATATTTTTTTGGGCTTTGTTGTAGTTTCTCAATGTAAATTTTAATTTTTCTGTTACATGTTTTAGTCGAAAGCGAGATTTTATATACATATACACACACATTTATACATACATACATACATACATACTATTCATACGATATTTTATTTTTTATACATACGTACGAAAGTTGCAGAAATGCACATACATACATACATACATACATGCAAACATATGGAAATTATATAGTAATATATGAAAATATATATAAATTTTAACGGCGCTCCTCATGTTGGAGCACAAATATGTAAATAACAAATCAAAAATCACTTACATGCAGTTGTACACGGTTGCATGGCGTTGCGCCCCCTGCGCTGCAAGTCAAAAACGCTTGCCACTTCGCAGTTAAGCGCGTGCAGCGCCATATACATATGTATGTACTGCTTTGTATTGCATTAGGAAATTGTATGACGTTGCATACATTTAGGATAGAAGCAGTTTGAAAATCGCTCATTTTTGATACATATAGACGCATGGATATGTAGTAGATCACAAGTTGTTTGCTGCTAGGAAATTTACTTTAATGCTGAAAAAACTATTTCTGTATGAAGCATATACATTTTGTTTATAAATTTGAATTTTTGTGTTTATTTAAATATTATTTTTAATTTCAAAAATTATTGCTGTTCATATTGAGGAACCTTAAATTTTAATTTAATTTATTTTAACTTTTCAACTTAAATTAATTGGAAACACAAAAGTGCTGACTTTAATTGTTGTGAAATATTTCTAACAAGCAAATTTCTTGTTTTAGATTTCACGCATATAACTTCGTCTTCAAAGCTACATACTAGATAGTTAAGTTCTTATAAATTTCGATATTTAATCGAAAATATTTAATCGAAAATATTTAATTAAATTTTTAAAAAAATTTTTGCTGTTAATCATTTTCATAAATTTAGGCTTTTACTAGTCAATCTTCATATTTCTTGCAGCCGATTTGATAAACTTGGTGAACGGCGCGGCAAACAAACAACTATGTAGTTTAAATGAAATAGTCGAAAAAGCAGGGCGTTCTTCTAAAAAAAAACGAACAGAAATTTTGTTTTACAATTTCACGACTTTCTTTTTATTAGAAAAATTATTAAATTATTAACTTTTTATGGAATCTGTGGATATTTTTTTTAGTGAACGGAAAATTATAATTCCTTTTGATGCATTTGATGATGCAAAATTTGTATAAGTTTTCGTAAATTTTTTAGAGTGACTCACAATAGTTAAAAAAAATTTTAATTCTCCCAAAAATTATCTATCTAGTATTGTTTATAATATTTTATAATAGCAACACATTAATATTTCTAAATATTCGATTGTGTTTAAGCAAATGCTCATCCTATCGTGAATAGTTTACTGTAATGACAACAGCTGTTTGTAATTTAAAATTGTTTGTTTACATTTCTAAGGTCTTTTATTTAAATCAAGAGTTTTATAAAAACTTATGCAATTTCATACTAACGGCATATCATTTACTGAACATAAAAGTGTTGTTTTTTTAAATTGGTTTGCATGAAGGAAAAATTTTATGATATACCTATCATTTTCTTGGATAAAGGTGAAATGTACTATAGTTCAAACTGAAATATACATTTCAATTTTTATTTAAATTATTGATTTACATATGTGTAAATTTTATTATAAGATTTTGTTATTTTTATTTTTTTAAAATAAAATATACGACATTAAATTAGGTTTCGACTCTGACTACCCCAACACCACAAATGAAACAATAATTACCATATATAATTTCAATATTTAAATCCTAATTTAAAATTTTCAGGTCTGTTCCTTTATTTCATTTTGAAACTAGACCGATCATCCGTATAATCATTATGAGTAAAGTCAGCACTTTCCATTCCACTTTTAATTGGATTTTTAAAGCTTAACTTAATACATGCATGTGTAATATTTTTAATTCCGATTTTGTTTTTTTTTTTTGTGAAAACATTAATTTAAGCTTCAAATCTATATGGACTACACACTCACCTCTACATATAAACATAGGCATAGCAACTCTTGTCATATGTCATATTTGTAGATTTACTTGCATACATACATACATATATATGTATTAGATTTATATTTTAACAATTGGCAGGCGAGCAACGAAAAGTGATTATTAGAAAGAAATTATGTGATAAATTTATGTAAAGAATACGTTCTTAATAATTGTTTTTCAATATTTGTATAAATATTTAAACAAAAAGAACAAAACCAGAGCAAACACTTCAAATATAATTTGCAACAACAAACGTCTTTGAATAAGTGTGAAATATATTTTTTCGAAATAAACACCGGGGTAGACAGCAAAGAATATATAAAGAAGATTATAAAAAATAAATTAACAAAGTTATGAAAGTAACAAGCGAAAAACTCAACAAATCTAGGGCCCTCACAAAAAGGAGAAGCAAATAAAATACAACAAATACAATACAATAGAACTACAAGCGAAAATCAATTGGGAAGGACACTTACAACATGAAATATGTAATAAAAAATAGCGAAAAAAAAAAACAAACGTAAATAGCGATAAACAATAAAACAAAAACAATATACAATAAATGCAAAGCAAAAAGAAATGAAACAGAATTGCAAATAAAAACAAACTATTCTTAATGTTTAAGTAAGTAGATGTGTGATAAATGCTTTTAAATTTTTAAACTAATACTATGTAATATTAATAAATATTAATAAAAAAAATGTAAACAGAATTATTAATATTAAACGATACTATTTAAAATTAAAACTATACTTATAATTAATTAATATTAATTGAATTAATTGCAGTGCGTATGAAAACTACGAAATATACACATACATACATATATACTATACGTTTAAATTTAGTTATGAAGTAAACAAAATGCAGAATACAATACTAAAAAGGAAATAAAAGAAATTTTAAATGAAAAGAAAACATTGAATTTGCAAATGTGTAATTGCTATAAATGTAACTGCATGTGGGGAAGTGAAAAAAAAAAAACAATTCAAAAATATGAAGAAGGCTGATTAATAAATTCGGCGTGCAATTTATTTATTGATTTTATTCATTTTATTTTTTGTTTGCTTAAAACGGAATTATTTTTATTTTCACTTTTTAAATGTACTTCATGAATTTGAACTTCAGCGTTGCGAACTTTTTAATTCAAAAATTTTGCATTAAAATTCAGATTTTTATTTTTCATACCGACGTTTGGATTAAAAATTAAAATCTTATTTTTTAATTAAATTTAAATTTTTTTAATCTCGATAAAAATAATAAAAGTTTGAATTTTTTTTTTAAATTAAATTAAAAATTTTGATTAGATGTGTATAAGAGACAGCATATATATGTATTAGATTTATATTTTAACAATT